AGAATCATCTTAGATGTAGCAGTATTAGACCTGATGTGGGAGAAGTCTTAAGTTTGAATGAGTTTAACCATTTATTAAAAGCATACGTTGTCACTTCAATTCATTTGTGTATTTAGGACCTTGTGGCACAGTCCCTTGCACACCATAAAATTACTTACTCTTGTTGAATTAACATAACGCTTTTTATCCAGACAGAATAATTTTTCAAGAAGACTGAAGGAGTCACCCAATGCTTTTTTTACCAGCTCAGCTCTCAGTCCAAGTTAGACTTAGCTCTAGTTTTCAGAGTGGGGGTGAGGGGTAGGAGTGGAAATGCTATTTAAAAAAAAGTTGCAAATGAGGATCAGGAAGTTTTATTTACTGTTCTGACTAAAAAATCCCAAGTAAATCCTGTTTGGTTTACAGATTCTTATCATCCCAGGTTACTGTTACAGCATCTTTTTATGGGACAAGATGCATGCATAAAAGATGCTACAGATTTGAAAACAATTGCAGACAGTTTCTCTACAAATTCTATGTGTAGAGAAGACCCCCATCCTATCTGAATACCTAAAATAACTTATCATACCACATACAGCCTCACCTACATAGCTAATGCAACAGGGTGGTTTCCTAAAATATCACAATATGTCCAGGGAGACACCTACAATATGTAGGAAGTATAAAGTCAAAGTCTTCTGGCCCCAGCCAGAAGAGGTTGCTTGTACATAAATACCTTGAAGTAGAAGAGCTTGGGATAAACTCTTCTTGGATCAGTGTGAAATGCTGTCCTGCTCTGCACTCACTGAACTTTTTTCAACATAAAGCAGAGAAATGACCATTTGTCAGCTAGTAAGGAAAAAAAAAACAAACCCCAAACCATTAAAGACCTAAAATTTATGATCTGAAATGTCCAATCCTTCCCTTCAAAAGCAGCAGTATTTTCATTCTCATACAGCAATGCAGTACCTGCATCCATGCAGTACATGGACATTTGTCCTGAACTTCCAATCAGCTGTAAGCAATTCAAGACCAGTCACAGCAGCTTTAACCAATCTCATAAATCCTAGGCTTAAATAATAAATAAAAATAAACATCTTCTCATCAGTAACATCCAGAGGTTCGTTTTCTGGGCACAATATCTGTCCACATCAAGTGCGTGGGTTTTTTCATGCTGCTGTTCCTATAAAACTGTTAATATTCAGAAAACTAAATAAACAGATCCGCTCTTCAAGTCAACTGCTTTTAGATTATAATTATGAAAAGCAGAAACCATCTTTGTTTTTTCCTCCCCAAACTGGAAGAAATTGAACTTTGCCCTCTCAATAAGGCTGACTCAACAGGATGAGTAGAATACAGGCACAGAGGTCAAGTGGCCTAAGAAATCTGTTTTGAATATCCATACAAAAAGGCTGACCAGAAGCAACAGAAAAAATACCTGAATTTTAACAAGCTCAGTGTTTATACCACACTCTAAACAGAGCCCATTTTCAAAGTGTGATGTTACATATTAAACTCAGCTGTTAAGCTAATACTGAAGTGTGAAAAACAACCAAGCCACCTTCCACTACTCCACAGGCCATTCCACCACAGCTCAGTGTTGCCATCATCACAGTGAAGTTATCTTGAAGCAAGATTACTTAAACCAGAGATTCCAGGTCCATAAGCCTAGACAAATATTTTTTGGAATATTTGCAAGAAGTTGAGGATCTGGGACTTTTGAAATGCTTGGCCTTGGTTTGCTAAGCATGTAACTATTAGTTAAAGTGCAGCTTAGAACTCAAGACAAATGGTTTGCACTAATGTGGGTCCACAGCTATATTCTCCCCTTTTAAAACTTGTTAACATTATTACCACTAATTTATAGGGCAAGAGAAATTTACCAGTTGATAAAGTGAGCTTGTCCTTAGGCAAATAATTTGGTGGCTTTAAAGTGAGACTTCAAATTAACCCTGGTTACCTAATGCCACATGTTCTCTTCAATGTTTTACATGAAAAACACCACAAAGTTTATTCACATCTTCCTTTAAAAAAAAACAAAAATAAAAGAAAATAGGCCTATTGTTAAACACACTTAATGGAAGAGAAACTGATGGTGGGAATATGTAATCATACAACACCTGCCCAGTGCCACAGTACAGCAGGTGCCCCATGCCCTGCCTGATCTTCCACTTTCCTGAACACAGTAATCCAGCCCTTAAACAATACTAGACACACATGGGAAACAACAGACACTCACAGACTCTATTGGAATTAAAATCTCAGAATTATTTAAGGAAAATTGGGACTAGAAAGATTATTTTGTATCAGTTGCCAGCAAAATGGACAAATGCTCTCTCCTCTTAGAATCACAGAATCATAGAATGGTTTGGGTTAGATGTGACCTGCCTTGAGTAAAGACACCTCCCACTACTCCTCATTGCTCAATTCCCCATCCAACCTAGCCTTGAACACTGCCAGGGATGGGGCATCCACAACTTCTCCGGGCAACCTGTTCCAGTGTCTCACCACCCTCATAGTAAAGCATTTCTTCCATATATCTAACCTAAATTGCCCCTCTTTCAGCTTGAACCTATTACTCCTTGTCCTGTCACTACAGTTCCTGTAAAGAGCCCCTCTCCAGCTTTCTTGCAGGCCCCTTCAGATAATGGAAGGTTGCTATGAGGTCTCCTCACAACCTTCTCCAGGCTGAACAGCCCCAACTTTCTCAGCTTGTCTTCACAGGGGAGGTGTTCTTCCCCTTACCAACTTCATGGCCTCCTCTGGACTTGCTCCAACAGCTCCATATCCTTCCTATGTTGGGGGCACCGGGACTGTACACAGTATTCCGAGTGGGATCTCATGAGAGCAGAGCAGAGGGGAAGAATCACCTCCATCAACCTGCTGGTCACAGTCCTTTTGATGCAGTCCAGGATAGGGTTGGCTTTCTGGCTGCAAGTGCATACTGCCAGCTCATACTGAGTTTTTCATCAGCCATCACCCCCAAGTCCCTCTCCACAGGGCTGTTCTCAATCACTTCACCAATTCTGTAGGTGTGCCTGGGATTGCCCTGATCCAGGTGTAGGACCTTGCACTTGGCCTTGTTGAACTTCATGAGGTTTTCATGGGCCCACCTCCAAAGGCTGTCAGTGTCCCTCCGGTGGCATGTTCAAGAACACCTTTGCCAGTCTTTGTTTCATACCTCTTTTTCATTATAACATCTTTGGGTTGCATCATTTGAGCCATAGAAATCCATTCTGCTTGATTTACAAGCGCCCAAGCTCAGCTATTCCTATCTGTACAAACACTGCGTGTCACTAGGTCATCACAACAGAAGTCTATGTTGCCAGAAGATAAAATACGTCATGCTTGTTAACACACAAGTGTTATCTTGTTCGACCAGATACCACCAAGTGTGCAATCACAGTGACACCCAGCCCTGTGAACCTTGTGTGAAGCCAATTATAGGTGAGGAGAAAAAGTACACGCACCAAAAAATGTTTATAAACACAGAAGTGCCAGTCTCGAAAGACTGAAAGAGCTTTACCACAAAAATCTACCTAGTTTTTTTAGGTGACAAATATATTTGTTTTCAACAAATCTTGTTTTAATGAAATACTACCTATGTTTGTCATGTGCTTTAAATAGAAATTTATTTTCTTGGTAGGCATCCTGTAGCTATGCTGTAGCCTTCCACTCATGAAACTTTTGTCTTTTAAAGGTTATGTTTTCAACCTAAAATTGAGTTTCAGAGCCCTTTTGTGCCTAGGTGCAATAGCATTCAGAGAGAAGCCTATAAGCAGTAATACGACACTAAAGAACAGTTTTTTCTTATGTCAGAAATTTGCAAGTGCATTATACACTCACCTGGTTTTAAATTAAAAGCTAATTTGGGGTTTGCATGAGAATTTCCATATTTCTTTCCCCTTCGAAACTGTGAGGTTCTGTGGGAATTCTGTTTTTCTTTTTAAACCAGATGCCTTGGTTTTAGGCAGTCTGCTCTGTTAAAATAAAAAACGTCTAAAGGGCATTATCCACACAAAGAGCTGAAGGTCATTACCCAACTGTGCTCATTATCTCATTATATGGTCTAATTCGGTAATGTGTTTTCTTCCGGGATGTGATAATTAGTGTTGTGTTTCTTTGTTTCTAACAAAACCTTGGAGATACTGAAATCTTTTAAGGAAACAGTGAAGCATTTTGGAAGGCTATGTGCAGTAAGAGTCAAAGTTACGACCCTTCCTATTTCTTACAATTTCATGGCTGCCTCTTCCCAAAGCAATCTGCTCTCGGATCCCTGCTTTTAGGAAAACAGCTCCTAAAAAATGAGTACCAATAAACTGAAATTTTCTGGTGAGGAACATCTCTATATACACATTCAGAAAATGAAAATTCATTCTAAATAAGCCACGAAATCCACAGAGAGACTATGTGTTTTCCTTTCCACAGAGGATTCAAATAATGGTAATAACTTACTTTAATCAAGTTAGGGCCAGCAAGTATGTGTACTGTAACACAGCCAAGTCCTGAAATCATTACCTTAGACCCAGCATACACGCTGAACACTTTAGCAGCACACGCTGCCTTCAACTCCCATGGAAACGTGTAGATTCTTGTGGGGATGTTGGGGTTTTATTATCTCACAAGGTCAAGCTCTTAGTCCTTAATCAGGCAAGAATCCAGATGAGGTCGATGGGAGATTTGCCAGCAAAAGAACTAACTGGAGAGCGAAAAAGGATGACTCTAAACAACTTGGGAGCAGAACTTTATAGAGAACAGAGAGAGCTTGCATATTGTACGCCTGATTCATAGGGAGTAATTTAGCTCACGCAGATGGCAGCCACATGTAAGAAGATCTGGCCGTATATATCCTATACTTGCGCCTTGTCTTCATTGAAAAGAGAAAGGCATCAGTGGATAAGCATTATTTCAATTACTAAAAATGTAAATTTTGACAGAATAAGTCCACTAATGAGATTTTCAAAAAACTGTTAAAGTTAACATAAAGGAATATATATTAAATTATAAAATAAAATACTTACTAACTAATGCACCCTTGAGGTTCTTTTCTGCTCTCCAGAATCCCACTAGAAAGTAAACAAACCCCACATGGAAACAAAATCATTCTCAACAAACAAGTAAAATTCCTCACTTAGGAAATGTCTCTCAAAAGGCTATCTGCAATATCAGCCAGAGGTCTGAAATTAATCACTCACTAAGGTATCTCTTTCCACTCACCTTGAGGTAAAGTTTTGTTTCAGGAGTTTTTTACTAAATGCTACCACTCGCTTTTCTTTTTATCTAGGCAACAATTTACCCCCCGCTCATTACCGCCCTTCTTCCCTTCCAAAACACCAAAGAATTTTCTCCTCCTTGATTTCCTTCTGCTCACTGAGTACGCGCTTATTAAGTACGTGCCCCTTGTGTTTTCCTACTGGATTTCTCTCCATATAATTCTATAAGGGCATTTGAAAAAATGCAGAGCTATGGTTCTACAAGAGTTAACTGAGTCCAAACTTTCTTAATGTACTGACCAGCTGCTTGCTAGCTGTAACCAGAAGGAGCATGCACATTGGCAGTTAACTGTTAAATGCATTTTCAAAACTAATAGTAAGTTGAAAACAATTTGAGCTCTGGACATAAGTACAGTGTACACTCCCAGGTGAGCATCAGATATAAAAGGAGAACTGAGATGGCCTCCATATGAAATCACAATGGCTCTTCTCCTCAAATAATCTTTTATTAACTTTTGCTTTTTTTTTTTATGGGAAGTTGGGGAAAGGAGTTTTAACTCAGGAAATAAGTCATTTGTGCCCAATGCTAACACAGCATTTATAAGGCATGTATCTCGGTATCATCACTGCATGGAAAAAAAGTCTCAGGGAACCTCAAAGCCGACTCAGGTTTCACAAAAATATAAAATGTTCAAACACATCTGAAGTACTTCCCTTTCAGAGACCCCACAGGTGTTGAAATCCACTTCCCTGTATGGCAAGGGCTCAATTCCCATTTAAGGGCTTACATGAAGAAGGCAAGAGCCCCCTTGACACTACAGATGGCAGGGAACACATGGAGGACCTGACTGCCAGTGATGGAGTACAATTTGTTGTCTTTTCCAATACACAAAAACTCCAGTTGCTCCTCCTTGAACAATCAAACAAACAAGACTTTAGGAAACAAAAAAGGCAGGTAAATTCTGTAAAAACTACTCACAAAATGCTAACCAAAGAAGGCTTTTTGTCCCACAACTTAACTGGAAGCAGATAGCTCAGTGAGCAAGATGGCTTTTTCCCTTTCAACAAAGACGAACCCAGCCCTGTATACGGGGTAAGCAGTGAGAAATCTTACAGTGAGACTTTCGAAGTGACTTGGCAACACTTAGAACAGCACAATTTCTTTTCAAGTACAATCGGTAAAGGATAGCATTATTCAGAAAACAGTCACAATATCCTGGAACTTAACAGATGCAAAGTAACTTTGCAGTGGAGTCAGCAGTCTGAGGAGCCTCGCACATGCTCTGCAAGCTTTCAAACAGTCCTCCAGAAAGACTGGGGGGGAGGGGGGGAAGAAGCAGGGAGGGTAATGAGTAATACCTCTTCCTGCTAAACATTCAAGGTACACGTAAAAGCTATCATTGAGTCAGCACTTGGGGGTGGCAGTTCAGACAGTAAAATCTGGTTTGCTGGAATTTACAACAGCCTGAAGGAGGCCACTGCTATGCATCTCACATACCCATACATACATATTTTAATTATTACTATCAGTTTTGTAGAAGAAAATAATATTCAAATGACACATTTCAACATATTCATAACTAGGAGGTGATATCAGGTTATGATTTGAGGAAAAGAACAAGAGCTAGGGACTGACAAAACTTAGATATTTAATAAATGGCATCTTAATACAAACAAAAAACAAGCAGACAAAGAACCTAATGCAGGGCCCAATTAAATCATATGGTTTGGTGGGGTTTAGACAAGCTCACATTTCAAGCTTTCACTTGCTTACACCATGGCATGCAAGGTGTAGCACCGAGTGTGAAAGGTTCCAGCTCAGAGCCCAGACAAGGACTGCTGACTCTCATTTATTCAACAGTTTTTATAGGAAAAGCATCAAAGTTTCAACATTGCATTGTACAGTGGTGCATTTCCTTTTCATAATGTACTGTATATCACTGTAGGAAACTCTGCTAAGCTGGCAAACCCTTCTTACGGATACAGTTTACATAAGTCACATGAACAAAAGAAGTGCTTCTGTCAGCTTTTCATGTACTTTTGAGTAAGGATGTATAGCTATGCCAGTAAATCAAATTGTTTTGTTGCCACATGTTCCAGTTCTGACAGGCTATGTTTTACTTTGTGGTTATGTCTAACTGTGCCACCAGGTGAACCACAGATCAAGTTACTCAAAATACCTGAACAATACTTCAATACTCTACTTGTGCAAGAGGAAATTCATTTTTGACCTAGTACAAACCTGAGCCGCTGCAAAAAAGAGAGGTTCCACTACCCTTGTCACCCACTTTCACGGGTCCCTGCATTTGCTCTAGCAATCATGATGATTCAGGGAAAACCAGACCCTTCTAGGACTTCAAAAGCTGTCACATAAGCACACAGGAACCAGGCTGAAACTTGTTCTTCCTATCAGTGGTTTAACTTCATGGAAGGGAATGGAAGTTAACATCCACTATTTCACGAATATCTCATGAGATCTGTGACTGGCCGTACAATGCAGAAGCAGTCTCAACATGACACTGCAAGTGAAGTCACTTGGTTAAGCATAAGCCTCACTGTGTCCTGCTTTAGAAAAGCCGCCACCCCCAACTGATCGACTGAAGCATGGTATGAATATTTTCTACTGGATACAAACAACTGAATAACAAACACCCCCATCCCCTGCCCCCTGACGTCAACACAGACCTGACTCATCATCCGAGAGAATCCAGGCAGAGCAGTTCAACTGCCCCATTACTCTCAGCCCTACCACCAGAGCCACAAGCTTGGCTGGAAAAGGACTGAGTTCTTGTTGAGCACAAACACCCTTTTCTTTGGACAACAAGGCTACAGTAAAATAATAAAATACATTCATAAATAAAGGACAGGAGTATACTCTCATTTACCAATTCTTTATTGTGCTTACTATCAACTATTAATAGTTTAGTAAATTCCCTTGGACCATTAACTGCAGTTTTCGTTCACCATAAATGCAAAGAAAGACCCATGTATCACCCACTATACACTGCTCAGCCATTCTATGAAAAAAATGTTTATCTTTAAAGCTTCCAATGTAACTGCACTGTTATATTTAAATGTTCTTTGAGATCATCCAGGAGATTACAAACATGGTTGTTTAAGAAGTCTGTGCCAGCTGTTCTATGTGTATATTAGGAGCATTACAAAGGCATCAAATACTCATTAGTGATGAGATCATCCCAACTAAAAAAACATACTAATACACATCTTGGATACAGACAATCAGAGTGAGGTATTGGACACAGGAGGAAGAACATACACCCAAAGAAAAAGGGGAGCAGAGAGCATTATATGCATTGCATTGTCCCACTGAAGAGTGAGGAAAAGGATTACTTCCCTTCATTGGCACAACAACCCTTGCACATCAGGTTCACAGTAAATGTCTCTCCAACCATACCAACCATGGCCTATTTAACAAAATAGCATCGAGGACCTAACAAGAAGCTGCTAGGAAGAAAAAGCAAAGAAACTCTTGTGTCACAAATGGAGAAGGAGTGCCAAAAGACTTCAAACGAGAACACCATTTCAGGACGTGGTGTGCTACACCACCTTCAAATCTCTGCCATTAAACTGTCCTAGAGACATAATGCTATACAACTGTGCCAGCATCAGACACCTACTGACTGTTTTAGGATGGAATTAAAAGGGCAGAAGATGTAGCAACTCTGCAGAAAGGTATGAACACGAACCCTTTCTGGCTGCAGGGCTTGTAGCCCACCAAACAGCAAACTGAATCCCCAAGTGAGCATTCCAGCAAGAGATACCACCAGGGAGCACTGGGACACAAGCAAACAGGCTGGTTGCCTCCAAAAATGTAAGGAAAGCAACTGGAACAAGAAGACAACACAGGTATCAGAACTGAATCAATTAGTTCAGTCAACTAGTAGGAAAAATGTTGATTGCTCCAATTAAATTACTTCAGTCCATTAGGCCAAAAAAGACTGATTCATTGCTCAGAAATCCTCCCTAATAAATCCTGATTTTCTTTGAGCAATCTTGTCAAATCACAGATACTTGATTGATACATGAACACTTGACCTATAAAACCATCTCGAGTGCATTATTATTTCTTCAGAGAAAGAGGGAAGATACATTCTAGGACTCCTCAAGGCAGAACAAAATAAAGGAGTTCTTTGTTAGCAACTTTTACTTGAAATGTTTTAGACGGTTTCTTGGTTAATCCTTTGCGTAGTGCTTGTGTGATGTTGAAACAAACAGAAGGATGAGCTGGTTTGGTTTTCTCCACATACAAGAAGATTTTAACAACATCACTAAGCACTCAATACTCAGAACTGTGTCATTAGAATTCTTTTCTCCTGAATCATATCAATAAAGCTGAAGTTCAATCTAGCATTCATAAGAGATGACTTATAGGTTTCCTGCTGCAAATGTACTTTTGAGATCCAGTATATATAACAGAGACACAGAATTAAGTAACTTTAATTTTCCTTATTATTTCATAGAAAATGAACCATCATGCGGTCTTAGATATTATCTTGGGTATGAAATTGCTCGAAAAACCCCTAGCTTTGCAAATTTCAAAAACAAAAAGGGAAAAGAGATTTCAAGAGAACACAAGCAAGAACCAGGTCTTTTTCGGGATTGCTTTTATTTTTCTGCTACGGGCATGAAGCATTCCTTATTCCGACATTTCGGGGGGGGTTCTCCTTTTTTACTATCATTGAAGTCAGGTAACAGGCCTTTTAACAGCAGACACTGGGGAAGCATTTGTCAAGTGTTACAGTTAAGACAATTTTAATCTTCTGAAAAACCTCAGAGTCCTTCCTATGATGCCTGCTTTAGCTCTCTTGCTTCCGTCTGTGACGATACATGTG